AAGAATCTGTTTTTCGCTGTTCTTGGGAGTTTCCTGATGTCCCAGAAGCTCTTTTAACAGAGGGCTTGCTTGTTACAAAACCTCTTTGCCTGTTTTTGTTCCCTTGGAGTGGAAATCTCTATCTGGCAACAGAACTAAAGTTTCTTCACAGGTTTTGGGTTACAAATAGAGTCTTGCTCCATCCTCGGAGAGTCGCCTTTGGGGACATAGCATTATTTTTTGAAGTTGTGACTGTGCAGAGCTGGGGGGTTATATAAGGCCACAAAGAGTCTGGGCTCAAGCACTGAAAATTGAGTTTTAAATTAGGTATAGGACTTTGGACTGAGGTTTTTGATTTGGAGAGCCGGGCTCTTGGAAAAACAGCTGGTATCTCCGGGGAGATTCTAAAAGCTGTTTCATGCATAACTTCAGGCATTTCCTTAGGAATATCCTGCAAAGCCACTGTGACAGGGCATCATGGAACACAAAGACTTTTCCCCCACATAGGCAGTGCTCCCATGCAGATCGAATTTTCTCCAGTTTGGTGTCTGTAAGCATCTCAAAATCTGTGCCATTGTGAAATTCTTCTTCACTTCCAATCAAAACGTCTGTGGATGATGGTTCGGACCATTCTTGTGGTTTAGCTTTTACTGGAAAAGAAGACCTTCTGCCTCGTCTCCCTTTCTGCATTGAAAGACCTAAGTCCAGTCACTGTGGAGAGTTTTCTCTTCCTTCTTGCTGGTAGTGATGGCGATGGGACATAGGAGTGTGGGGAGAATTTACAATCTCAGCCCAACCTGATCACACAGTTTGGTTGTTAGCATCTCTTTTCCAACTAGATCTGACATCTTGGCTGGGATGGGAAAGTTCTAGGGCTTCAAGCCTGCTGGGGACAGGTGACTGAGGATGAAGCATGAGCTGGCTGCCTGGCTGACCGGCCCTGGGGGGAAGGGGAAGGCGGGGAAGTAAAGCGTCATTTGGTGTCTGGGTTTTCTCCAGTCCACAAGGGACTGTTATCCTAAAGTAGTCATCTCCTCCATTCAGGGTGTGATCTGCCAATACCAGCAGTGCTTTCTGGGCAGAGAAGCTACCAAAAGAACACGCCCCAAAGTGTCAACAGACTGGGTGGAAACAAATAGCCCCTCAGCAGAGATCCTGCTTTGCTCTTCAGTATGGGAGGATGGAGAGGTCTGAGTGGGATCAGAGATAGTCTGAGAACAGCAGGCCACTCAGTGGATTTAGGCCTCAACTGGCAGGACCCTGTGCCTTAAGGATGAACCCTCAGCCAACCTCACACGTCATGACCCTGAGCAAAGAGCGTGTGGACTGCCAGCTTCTCTCTGAAACCTTCTCCTCCTCTGCTTTCCACCATCCCGCTAGCTCCCATTCTCCTCTTCCCTGATTACATCAATTCTGTCTCCTTTGTGGGCACCTGTTTCCCACTCACCTGCGGAATGATCCCAAAGTGGCAGGCCTTGCCCTAGGAGCTCAGGATAGTATAGTGAGCAGGGTGAGCTACATGACTTATGGAACCCAGTGCAAAATTAAAACGCAGGGCCCCTTATTTGTAATCTTTCAAAAATTATTATGATGGCCACAGTGAGCATTCAAGCAAGCTGGGGCTCTTCTGGGTAACAGCCCTGTGTGACCGCATGCAAGTCAGGATTCCATCTGTGGTCAGTTTCTCTCCACGCGCTCCCTGTTTGACTCAGCAATTCCTGATGTCTCCCCAGATCTTCAACCCAGCTCCACCCCAAACTTATACTCCTGGTTATTTGGAAGTCCCATTACCTGAAAATCAAGAAGACTGAAAAAAAATTGATGTTCTCCAACCATCAGAATAAAATAGAAATCCTTCTCTTTCTCAATTGTTGCTTTCAGACAAGGATAATACCATAAACCCAGTTGCCCAAGTCCTTCTTGCCTCTTCCTTCTCTGAATTCCCACCAGGTTCTAGCTCTTGGTCTTTTTAATTCATTTCCCCTTTTCTGCCATCGTTTACTCCCTATGGCCAAAACCTTGCTTCATGCCCTGTCCTCTCTCACTTGGGCTATACCCACATTCTCTGCCTTACTCATAGTCTAATCTTCACCGTCCTATGGATGTCAGCATAGTGTCCCCCCCCACCCCCACTTCCCAAAATCAATCCCCTGCATTGATTGCCTCTCCATTACCTACAGTATCCAACCCGGACTCCTGAGAGTGGCAGAGGGAGCTACCCCACTGTGCCTACCTTGCCACTGTGCCTACCTTGCCATGATCTAACACAGTGGTTCTCAACCTTGGCTGCACATTAGAATCACCTGGGAATCTTTTTAAAATACTGATTTCTGGGCCTCATCCTCCGGAAATTCTGTTTCTTTGTTACTAATGTTGTGGCCCCACCCCATAACAAAGAAACAGAATTTCCAGAGGATGAGGCCCAGAAATCAGGATTTTAAAAAGATTCCCAGGTGATTCTAATGTGCAGCCAAGGTTGAGAACCACTGATCTAACATCTCTAACTGGAACACGTGTAGCTGCTCCACTAATTTGTTCAACACACCTGTTTTTAGTGACTCTGTGCCAGGTTCTGTACTAATCATTCAGATATGGAGTTGATTAATGTGAGGGGCTAACAGTTCAGTGGGGAGACATGAGATAACAGATTATGGTAGTATCATAAAGTAAGTGCAGAGGTCACAGGTATGCAAAGAGTGTTATGAGGACAGAGAGAAGGTAGGTATCTAATTGAGCCTGAGAGCAGGGGATTGGAAAGTCAGCCTTCCTAGAGGATTGAGTTCATAAGGATGGGCAGGAAGTGGTCACATGAAGAGGAGAGAGAGCCATTGTGCTCTTTGTGCCTCTGTGCCTTCTCCCATGCTGTTCCCGCAGACTGGGAAGAGCAAATCCAGCCCTGCCCCCCTCACCCCCGCCTCCCTTATCTGCCTGGCAGCCTTCAAGACCCAGCTGGCAAGTCACCACTGTGAAGTCTGTCCCCACACCTGTTCTGAGCAGGGGCAGGCACTTCCTCCTCGGTGTTTCCAGAGCACCTTTCCATCCATCCCACATACACAGTCTCATACCCACTTGTTCATGATCTTCCCTTCACTCATTGTGTCCCCTTCTTATTAGGAGACTAGTCATATTGGATTAGGGCTCACCCTAATGGCTCATTTTCTCTTGATTGGTCTGTAAAGACCCTATCTCCAAATAAGGTTTTATTCTGATGTTCTAGGGATCAGGACTTCAACACATGAATTTGGGAGGAACACAATTCAACCCACAACAGGGGACATGTGTCTTTTCTGATTGCCCATCAACTGGACCTTACAAGGGGAGGTTGGGTGGATGGAGGAGTTCTTCCATCATAGAAGCTGAGAGGCCAAGACATTCCCCAGCTCATCTGCACCAATGACAAAGGCCTGTGGTCAGCTTTGGCCAGAGAGATGCCTGCCCAGGACTGTGAATTGATCACATCTACTGTCACAAAGGTGTGGGCCAGTGCAGAATTCTGTCCTGGTGATGGTGGCTGTTCCTTGGGACAGCTGTGCCCCCCACACCTGCAATCATCTCTAGTGTCAGGGCAAGGGGGCTGTGAAATGAGGTGCCTCGTCCAGGGCCCAGGGCTGTGGGGTGGTTTGACAACACTGGCTCTGCAGCCATACCAACAATGACACCGTTCTGATCCCCTAGCACTTTTTTAAAAAAAGATTTTTTAAGATTTTAATTTATTTTAGAGAGGAAGTGAGGGAGAGATAAAAACATAGATGATGAGGGAGAGTCACTGATTGGCTGCCTCCTGCACACCCCACACTGGGGAATCGAGCCCACAACCTGGGCATCATGTGCCCTGACCAGGAATTGAACCCTGACCTCCTGGTTCATAGGTAGACACTCAGCCATGAGCCACAGCAGCTGCCCCCCCAACCCCCCAGCACTGTTCGACATCTTGTCCTTTCTCCATATCCTATCTGCCCAGAAGCTATTTTCACTTCCAGGCCTTGCTACCCATTTCTCTCAGCTGTGGTGCCGTTTGCAGCTCTCCTGAGGCTCTCTCAACTTCTCTTAGACCAGCTGCATTCAATTTCAGGATGTTTGCTTTTAGGGGCTTTGGTGATGGGAAGGACACTGGCTTTGGATTCAAATTCTAACTTACCAGATGCGTGACCTTGGGGAGTTAAATCCTTGAGGTCTCAATCTTTTCCTCTAAAACTAGCTAATGACAGTGGCAGCCACACCCCCATGTTTTGAGGATTCAATGAGTGAATGCAGTGCACGGTAAGCATTTCACAGTTTGGTCCCTGCATGCAGACGTGCCCTCAGTGAGAACTGTGTTTCCTGGGAGCATCAAAACCAGGGTCCTCGAGGCAAACAATGGGCTACAAATTAGACCATCTCAGCTGGTGACAAGGGAGATGAGCTTTTCCCATGGCCGGCAGGATTGCACCGGGTCTGTTTCCAAGGGGTTCACTCCATTGCTGTCCCCCATGGAAACAGACCGGGTGAACCAAGACAGCCTGGGTCCCCACAATATTCAGCCTCCAGATGCTGCCCCTCCTCTGGACTCAGAGCCTGGCTCCTTCCTCCCTGGTGATTCTGAGGCACACTAGGAAGAAACGGAAGACCTGAGAGGGTGGTTAGGATGCTGTGAGATTCCTTCTTTGATTGCCCCCATTGGCACTTTCTCCTCTGAGTCTGGAAACATGCCATCCTCTCCAGGTCTATTCAAGCCTGTCTCCCATGACCATCCCTTGACTTTCCCCCCACTTGGAGGAAGGTGCCCCAATCCCCCTAGTACCCAGCACCCAGCACCGGGTAGGAGGGTAGTGCAGGCCTTTTACTAATCAGTTGCTCCAGGCCCAGGTCCTATCCCTTCTCTGGGTGGGTCCAGGCTCCTATCTGAAAATCTGGTTGCTTTAGAAACAACCATCAGAAAAACAGAATAGTGGGGAGAGTGGCAGGTGGGTTGCACCAAGGCCTTTCTTAGAAATGGTTTTGTTCTTGTTGTTTTTGCTTCCGTTCATTCATCACAGGGCAAAAACTCCACACATGAGTTTTAATTTTAAATTTCAGTGGGAACAACAGAGTCATTTTTAGTCGGCGGTTCAGGAGCCGTTGAGCGGCCCATGGAATCCGTGAGGATCAACAGGAGCGGCAGGGCTGGGCTGTGTTTGATTTAAAATTGGAACCCAGGAGGCAGAGGGTGGCTTTATATAGCCTGGGAGGTCCGGGAGCCTCGGCTCTGATTTATGCGACTCTTGGTGTAAGCACATGGAAGCCGAGGTAATATTTATAAATTCCTTCCCCAGCGATGGATGGAATGTTCTGAGTGGCAGTCAGCACCTTTCTGGGGGACAAAGGGAGTTAGCTGTTTAAGTCCCATTATTCAGCGAGAGAAAGAAACGTGGGTGAGAACTTTTTCGAAGTCTGACCCAGAAAAACAGAGGGTGAGGGGCACAGATCTGCAGCCCAGCTTCTCCCTTCATCCTCAGAGCCTCCCCTAGTTCAGGATGATTTGGTACCTCCTTTCTGGTAGCTCCACGCCTCCCCTGCCTTACTCCACAAAGGCAGGGACTACACCTGGCAATTATGGTGACCACATTTTTCCAACAAGGCGTCTAGCTGGCTGTGTGAGGAAGGGGCAGGTCCTGGCAACATGGGAAGAAGAAGGAAAAGAAGATGGAGAGAGAAGGGGAAGAGGCTGCAGAGAGAGGAGGCGTTGGCCTGGGCCCTGAGTCTGAGGCTGATGTGTGACAGGGCACACTGAGTCAGTTTGGCCGGTGCAGGCAGGTGGCATGGAGGTCAATGGCTGCCAAAGCAGGGGACTCCCCCAGAATCAGAGAGTGCCCCCTCCAACGGCATCCCCCTCAGGCCTGGCAGCCCAGCAGGTTGGGAGAAGGGCCGAACCCTGTGGCCGAGCAGGCTGATGACCTTGCTCCGATGAGAAAGGATGGCGGAAAGCGACTTTTTTAGAAATTTGTATTCAGGAATGTAAACCCACGGGGAGGGAAGGAAACATATTCAACTCTGTGGGACCACCTTGACCATGTCACCTTAGATTTCCCACGTGAACAGGAGAGAACTCCATTTGTCACTCATCTTTGTTTGTGATTCCTACCTGATTCTCAGAGTCATGAGAGCTGTACTGCCAGTGACAGGGCAGGTGGCCTGCGGCCTCTGCTGTGTCTGGGACAGGGGAGAAATGGTCTCCTCTGTCAAGCCTGTCCCGACCCCCATCTGTAGCCTGGCTTCTGGCACTGGGACACTTCAGGGGGGACAGGGCTTGTTGGGAGGTCTTCCCACAACACCCACCTAGCCCCTGCCCTGGCCCACCGGATTCTCCACGAAAGGTCCTCAAGCCTGATAAAAGGCAGTTAGAGAAGAATTACTTTGCTAATGCACCAGGGGCCTAGGTGCAAGC